TCCCACCCCCCGGTGCAGACACCGGCCATTGTCACCTTCCCTGCCACCCCCCAGTCCGTGGGGACAGACACCCCCCGTCTGTGTCCCCCCCTGACTCCAGCCCTCTCGAACATCCTCTATCGCTGCCCCTCCATCCCCTCCAGGGATGGTTCGCCATCCATCCCTGTCCCCCCATGCTCTCGTGCTCTCCCCAGTGTTCCCTTCACCCCTTCCCCAGGAACACCCTCGGATTCCCCTTCTCTTAAAGCCACAGGCCTCTTTGCAGCTGTGGCTGGGGGGTTTGGGGCCTTTGTCCCCTCCCCAGTCCCACTCCAAAAGTTGGCAGTGACCCAGTGATGGGGTTTGGTCCTGGAGTGGAAAAGGGCGTGGGGGGAGGCGGTGAGAGTGATTCCCTCATTTCCATCCACCCCTTTGGTGTCTGGACCTGGATTTTTAACCCTTGTTATTGAGTAATCCTTTAATCTCTTAATCCTTTCAAATAACCATATTTTTCTATAGGAAGGCAACAAAAATTAGATATTTTTTTCAGTTTGCTGAGGGCCGAAATGTGCACCGTGTGCTTGGATTTTTCGGCACGCTCCATAGTCCTGAACAAACAGGAGCATAATCTCCGTCTGCCTTGAGCTCAAATTATTTCAGTGTGATAAATAATATGCTAAATAATTTATTATCTATTTTAAAAATAAAATTAAAGCAAGCTACCCAGTCATTCCACTAGTTTTTATTCCATAATTTTCTCTCTCTTTTTTAATATATTTTTTTAAAGGGGGCTACTCTGAGCCTGATCATTTTTACAAGGGCTCAGCTCGAATTTAACAGGGATTTTGGATATACTGGAGGTTTATTTTATCCATCCCCATATCCCCTTTGCCTGCTAAACCCACCACGTGCATACCAACATACTGGATGTTAATTTGTACATTCATAGGRTATGATTTATATATACCTATATTATATATATGTATATATTTACTGAGAAATTTGTCAGACACAAGTACGGCCATCGGCCTTATGGAAATAAGATCTAATTTTATTCCAGCTGTCTACAAAAAAAATAAAAAAGAAAAATTCTTTATATTTAACACCTCTAGAACTTTTTTCTTGGTTTTTATTTTTTTTTAATCACCATCTGCTCCCCCCCAAAAAAGCCACTTCCCTGTTTTAAAGCTGAAAAAAAAAAAAAGGCTGAAATGAGCAGTTCCCTCGCCTCGTCCCAGCTCCAGAAGCCTCGAGGAATGTAAACTCGGCGGTAACTCCGCTCACAGAGCACAGTTTGCATTTTCTGCCCGGCTCTGAGTGCGATACGGCGCAAAAATAAACCCTGGGAAGAATTTGCCAATTTTTAACCGCTTCCAAGGCCGCCGTGGTGCCCRCTGGCAGCTCCCGCCCTCCTGCCAGGGTTTTATTTTTCTCCAGCGATTCCTCATCTCCCCCGGCCCCGCATATTTTTGGGGGGATGTGGATATTTGGGTTTGATCTGTGGGAGATCACCCGGCCGTGCCGGGCTGGCGGTGCCAGGGCGGGCAARGAAGGAAAATGGGCAAGAAAGAGCAGGGCTGGGATTTTATTTTCCCTTCTGCCAGGCCCTGGGGTGCGGGTTGATGGGGAAGGGGCTATTTATTTCTCCATAATAACRGAGTTATTTATTTCTTATAAACAATTGTTTATATTTATTTAAAATAAATAAATAACTGCYGTAGTTATTTATTTTTGTAATGCTGTTCGATGTATTTCCTGGGTAATTCAAAGCTGGGGCAGACGGGCCTTGGTTTTGAGACATCCCCGTGGGTTTCCAGTGGGCCAGGGGCACATCTTGTGTCCCCTCAAATTAATTCTGTAGGGTGTCCCCCCAAATTGATCCCATTTCTCTCTGTCAGCAGGGACTGTTCCTGCATGAGCCATAATTGCACGGGCCGAGGGTGGCAATAATTTCAGTGCACCTGCCCCCTGGCACTGGCAGAGGCAGAGTGAAGGGCACCCCAAATCCTGACCCCTGATCCTTGGGGTTGCTCAGCCCTGGGGTGCTGCAGGATTTGGGGTGCTGGGGGCTGTGCTGCCCTCGGGGCTGGAGAGCTGCACCAGACCCTGCAGCAACTGTCCCCACTTGTCCCTGCTCACCGCAGYCCCCTCRGCCTGAACCCCAATTCMTGYTACCCCCAGGCASAAAAACACTAAAAATACAAAAATCYTAATTTGTTAATGTTTCCAGTCTGCCTGTAAATGGCGTTTTGAGGACGGGGGTGGAATCCAAACCCGATTTAATTTTCCCGTGCAGGCCATCCCTGCTGCCTCAAATCAAACCAATAGTGTGGGGTGGATTTGGGGTGCACCTCTGTTCCCCCGAGTGGTTTTTTGCAAAGATTGGAGCCCGGGGGTGGAAGCTGAATTACCCCGATGCTGGCACAGGGATGGAAGGGCTGGATCAGACCCTTTGTTCGCTCCTTGGGATTTTATCCCAGCCTGTTCGTGGGCTCACGACCCCCCGTCTGTAAAACCAGTGCTTGGAACAAGCAGGAATTTGTKCCCCCCCTCCCTCAAAGCTGGATTTTATTTCTAAAGGGCATTTCATGGTTGATTTGTGCTGCTAAGACACCTCGATGCCAACTTTTGGGCTCAGCCCAGRGGGTGCAGATACCCGTGGAGCAGCACAGGGCTGGTCACCCCCGCTTTGCCATGGGAAAACATCCCCCAGCTTCATTAGCCCTTTTTTTGGGCTCATTTTGAGCATTTTTACAGGGTTTTTTTTCCGAGGTCCCATTCTACTGGGTGCAACGGCATGGCTGAGCCACGTCCCTCTCTGGAAGGAGGGAGAGAAAGGGAAATAATCCGTGTTGGGATAGTTTTGTTGCTGCCTTTCTTTGCTTTTAAAATAACTTTTAAGGAGAATATTCTGGTTTTGACCAGAATTTATTTACTTTATTCCTGCATATGGCTCTTGGCCTGGGTCCCAAACAGGCAGAGGTCTGGCCTGGCTCGATTCAAAGCCAAAACGTGCAATGAAAAGAGATTTTTTTTTTTTTTCCCCTTTTCTCTTTCTTTCTAAAGCAGGTTTTTAACTAGTGAAATTGTTGCTGACAAAGGGGGGAATTTCAGTTTAAAAATTGCTAGCAGATTTCAGGGAATTATTCTGCAGGAATTTCAAGGGGTTTCAGGATTTTTGCTATGGCTTTTTATTTTTTTTTTTTTTTTTGGCTGCAAGAATAGATGTAAAAAAAAATAATATAAATCTCCAATTTTTTCCCCCACTCTGTATTTTTTCCATTGGCTCAAGCATCAACTTTTCCCGCTGGATTTGTTGGAAACCATCCCTGAAAGAGCTTGTGCAGCCCTTTCCTTGCTCTCACACCACTCAGCACTGGGAACTGTGACCTCACCACAGCAAATCTCCCCCAAAATGACCYTAAAACTTGGTTTTTCATCAAAAAGGGGCTTTGGGGGGGTTGTCAAACAGCTYCAAACACCACCACGGGCCCATGGTGCTGCTGCCCTCCCCATGCTGGGRGCTTGGGCCATGACTTTCACAGCCATGTGTGGATGGAGACACCAGGAATTCTTGCAAACACCGAAATTTCACTTGTTTAAAAAAGCTCCCAACAACAACCAAACCCCAAATGCAACCAGGAAACGTTTTCTCACTCGTTTGTTGGTTTTTTGTTTTTTTTTTTTTTTTGTCTGCAGAAAGACATAAATCAAGTCTGGCCACTCTCCCAGGGCTGGTTTGTCATGTTGGGGAATTTGGGGAAATTTCTGGAGTGGGAGGAATGGGGAAGGATATAGCCCTGACTCTTTGTTTGGGGCGAGCACATCCCAGTTTGGTTTTTGTCCCTTCCCTGCAGACAGAGCTGGCAGAGGGGTCCTGCCATTTTCCTGTCATGCTGCCATGGCAGCCCCTGGCCCTGCAGCTCGGTTTTAGGAACAGGAGCACCTCAGTGGGTGACCCCGGTGACATCCTCGGCACAGGGCACCACGACACTGAGCACAGCAGCCCCAATGCCAGCGGGGCCTCTCAAAATGTTCACATGCCAAGGGGAGCTGCACCCAGGGATGGKGGGAGGACAAAAATCCCCCCAAATATGGCTTTGCTGGAGGGGTGGGTGGAGGAGCAGGAAAGCTTCGGGGAGCTGAA